TGCCAACACAAAAAGGCTGGTGCCGTGGCTTAAGTGGTAGAGCACCTGGCTAGCAAGACTGAGGTCCTGAGTTCAAACCCCAGTACTGACAAAGGAAAAAAAAAAAAGGTATGTCCTTTTGACCCAATAATTTTACTCCTAAAAAAGCACTTTAAAGCAAAGGGTGTGCGGGGATTGATGTGTGAGGATGCCTGGGTAAAGCATGGTTGTGTAGTGCAGTCTGGGAATTAACTACCCAACAACCAGGCTGACTGAATAAATGATAACAGTATCCAGGTGGCGGATGCAGGTGCTGTTAAAATTCATGCTGCTGTGCATGCCTGTAATCCTGGCATTTAAGAGGAGGTTGAGACAGGAGGATTGTGAGTTTGAGGCCAGGCTGGTCTACATGGCAAGATCTTGTCTCAAAAAAATAAAAATAAAAAAAGCAGCAATAAAAATCTCATGTCATTGACCATCGAAAGCCCTGGGAGAAAATGCAGAAGTATTCTGAAGGAAAATGTCAACCGTGGCGAAAGAGCACATCCAGGTCTCCCTGCAGGGCGGTGAGCTCCTGAGCACAGACGTCACCCACATCTGTGACACACCAACATCCCTTTGGTGCTGAGAACCCCTCAGGAATGATTTTCCTTGTGGAATTCCATCCTGGAGAAAAACCATTCTGAATCCATGTCTGCACACGGGCACTTACTCAGTTAACAGACGCTCACTAGGAACCAGCCGCTGGGACACAGGCACAGGGGGGACAACACAGACAAAGCCCTGATCCCCTTGAGTGCACATTCTAGAAGGAGAGACAGACAGATCATGAAGAAAATAAAGATGAAGCCAGGCATGGTGGTGCAGCCCAGCTACTCCGGAGGTGGAGGCAGGAGCTCAAGTCTGAGGCCAGCACAGGCAGTCAGTGAGACCCCGTCTCAAAAGCAAAGTTCAAGCAAAAGGGCTGGGGAAGGGGCTCAAGCAGTAGAGCACTCCCTAGGAGACATGAGGGCCTGGGTTCAAACCCAGTGCCACACAGAGAAGGAGAAGGAGAAGGAGGAGGAAAGAAAGAAGATCAAGAAGTCGTGCACTGCCAGGAGTCTGTGGCTCACGCCAGTAATCCTAGCCACTCAGGAAGCAGACATGAGGAGAATAGCGGTTCAAAGCCAGCCTGAGCAAATAGTTTGAGAGACCTTATCTCAAAAATACCCCACACAAAAAAGGGCTGGCAGTGTGGCTCAAGTGGTAGGGCGCCTGCCTAGCAAGCATGAGGTCCTGAGTTCAAACCCCAGTACCACCAAAAAGAAGAAGAAAAGAAGTCATGCACAACAGGGCGTGGTGACCACACAGCCCCGGAAAACAGTTCTCAAGACCACCATCTCCAAAATAACCAGAGGAAAGTGGACGGGAGGTGTGGCTCAAGCAGTAGAGCACCTGCTTTGCAAGGATGAAGCCCTGAGTTCAAATCCCAGTCCCACAAAAAAAAAAAAAGACTGGGGGGACTTTGCTGGCCTCATGAGACCGTGGCCTTCCTCTGACGGCTGGACACAGGAGTGCAGAAGCCTCTGGCTCTGGGTGGGGAGTAGCTGTGAGGGCTTTGGCTGGAGGCCACTGCAATGGCCCGAGCCCTCAAAGCATCATGCGTGGACAGGTGCCCCAAAGCTCCACAACTGCCGCTGCCTGGTGAGGGCACGGTTTTAGCTTCTGCTCTGAACTTTTCTGAAGTTTCTAAGCCCTTGACATTGACCATTACTTACCAGAAGTGAACAATTTTTAAATCCCATCCACCTTCTATTTTATTCTTTTTTTTTGGATGTACTGGGGTTTGAACTCAGGGCCTACCTACTTGCTAGGCAGGCATGCTACCACTTGAACCACTCCAGTGGGTTTTTTTAGAGATAGAGTCTGGAGAACTATTTGCCGCTGCTGGCTTAAAACCATAATTGTCCTGATCTCTGCCTCCTGAGTAGCTAAGATTACAGGCATGTGCCACAGGTGCCCAGCCCCACTCATCTTTAAGGTTCCAACTGAAAGCCTGCCTGGATTCCCACCAGCCCCAACAGAGACGCCCCTCTTTGAGGACTGCCCAAGGTCCAGCCCCCCAGAATTAGAAGGGGTGGAACCCCACTCCTGACAGCAGCATCCTTTCCGGGGATACACAAAGACCCAAGAATCTCTCTATAATGTGGAATTCATCCCTAGGTTGTCTGCCTTGCAGACCATCACCACAACTGAAAAGCAGCCCCTCTGTCCACCCTCACCTTTGCCTGTGCCCCCACGACCCTCACATGCTAGAGAACTCGGGAAAGCCTTGAGCCAAGAGGTCATTAGACCAGGGAGCCCCAAGGGCTCCTCCTTGCAGAGCCCAGGTGGGCAGGGCCCAGCGGCCGTCACCTGTCTTGGGTTTCCTGCTAAGGAGGCCCTTCCTGGTGTGATGCACACCTGCTGCTGCTGGAGACCCCGTCTCTGAGGGATTCTGGAGGTGGAGCCAGGAGGCCTCTTCCTGACACATATGGGGGCTGGCGCAACACAACAGAGCCCCAGACCTCCTCTCTTTACTCAGGCCAGCTGCCCTGTGACACCCTCCTGGTACTGCCCCTCCCTTTCCTCAGCCACACCTGCCTCTCCTCTGGGTCATCCAGAGGTTGGGCCACAGCCAGGGCTCTCCACTGCCCATGCCACTTGAGAAGCAAGGGGTCACATCACAGTAAACTGTGTCCACTGCCAACTGTCCATCCGCCAGCCACTACTCTCCACAGAGCCACCTTAGTGGCCTTCTTAGGACAAGAGCCAAGTACACCAAGCCTGCCCCTGCTGGACCCCCAGGTTACCAACTGGGACATCCACTGAGTCAGTCCTGCCTTCTGACCCCCGCAGTCACCTTCCCTTCTACTCTCACTGCTCCCCCCTCCCCTCCATCCCCCACAATCTGTCCCCTACTTTCCACCTGCAGTCCCAGGGGGTCACACTCTTCCTCATCTTTGCCCTTCAATTTACCTGAGCTTGGACTTTCCTGCCAAACCAGCCTGGCTTACGCCTGCATCAGCCACCACCTCCCAGGCAGACCTCCCCAGAGGAGCTAGAGGGCCCTACCTCTGCTGCCTCCACTCCACCCTCCTCCATGGAGTGCTGAGCACTTGAGGTTGTCACTGTCCCTTGTCCTGTGGCCTTTCCCACTGGAGCTCCAGGGGACAGGACTGATGTTGCCCAGTGACTGGGGAGGTGCCATACAAGTGGACGAATAAAGGGCTGTGCACTGGGGACTCTGAGGGGCTGCCTCTGTCCTCCCAGTTTACAGTCTCCACGGTCAACAGGTGTCCCCACTCCAGAAACAGGTCAGGTTCTGAGCAGGGCACACTGGGTCTGCCCCTGGATGGTTCCTGCTCTGGGGCTCTACCTCCCTTTGGTTTAGCAAGCTGTAGCTCAGGGATGCTGAACAAGTCACCTCTCCTCTTGCAGCCTTACCTCCTCATGTAAAAAGAAGAAATGCCTCCCTTCCAGAACTTTTAAGGATTAGGTGAAAAAAAGGTAAGTACTGGGTCCAGCCCAGTGTTGAGCAGACAGCAGGCAATCAAAACACCCCTGCCCTCGGGGTTTCTTTCCAGATGTGCAGATGAAGAGCAATTGGGTCAAGCCACCACCAGGGGGCAGTACTACACATTTCCAGCTCCCATGGCCAGAGGAGCCAGGCACAGCTGGACTTTGTAGTGAGGCCTGCACAGGGCAGGTCCCATCAGCAGAGGGGGCACTGGGCCTGCAGAACACTGGAAGAGGCCTTTGGGACAGAAAGACACTATAGCCTGATGGTTGAGGTCAGGGACTTAGAGCCTGACACCCAAGGTTCGAGAGTGGGTCCCGCACTTCCTCGGGCAGCCTCAGGGTCCCCAGCTGTACAAGTGGTTCTGATAACAGCAGCCCAAGAGGTGGGAGCACCACAGGGAGGGGTGACCTGGCCAGGGCAGGACTAGTACCCAGGTGCCTCTTGGAGGAAGTAGCCTTGAGACAGTCTGCTGGCTGTGTGACTTATACCTGGTCAGGCTGCCTTTGTGGTTTGCCAAAGGCCATGTCCAGTTTAGCCCCAGACACCCCAAAATGCCCAGCAAACATCAGGCCAGCTGGGGTAGCACAGACACCAGGAACCAGAAACACAAGAGGCTAAGAGGCAGTGGCTGCACAGGTCAGGCACTGCTATTTAATGATGTAGGAAAAACCACACAGGTCTCAAGACAAGACACACATGCATGCACGCTCGTGATTCCCCACAGGGAACATTAAGTTTTCAAATCTCACAAATACTGGAGGAGACAGAAAGTTCCTTTTAGTGATTGGTCACTCACAGCCCATTGTCCCAAGCTGACAGCTCTGTGGAGCAACCAAAGCCTTGAAGAGAACTTCCTACCTGCCTGAGACATGGAGGAGGAGCCAGCTGAGAAACTGGGAGTGAAGGGCAAGGGAAGTGTCCACAGGAAACGGTGACAGCCATCCCTCCATAAAAGTCACAAGCATCCCATGTCCAGTGGGAACTTTCCATCCCTGGAACTCTCATGGAGGCCTTTTTAAAACATGTGGGCCAGGCGTGGTGGCACAGGCCTATAATCCCAGCACTCAGGAGGCTGAGGCAGGAGAATTGGGAGCTCAAAGCCAGCCTGAGACTCTGACTCTAGAAACCAAACCAAACCAAAATCAAACCCCACACAGCCAGGCTTTCCCTTTGACTGGCTGTGCCAGATCTCTGGGGGGTGGAAGAAGTCACAGTCTAGAAGTCTGCATCCTAGCGGGTTGAGAAGTATGGATTTGAGAATTCTGAAGAGTCTCCCCTCTCTCTTCTTCCTCTTAGGGCAGGAGAGGGAGTGATTTGTTTTGTGTTTTGGTGGGACTGGGGTTTGAACTCAGGGCTTCACATTCACAAAGCAAGTGTTCTACTGCTTGAGCCACACCTCCAGTCCATTTTGCTCTGGCTATTTTGGAGATGGGGGGTCTCACAAAGTATTTGCCCAAGCTGGCCTGAAGCTGTGATCTTCCTGATCTCAACCTCTCAAGTAGCTAGGATTATAAGCACGAGCCACTGGTGCCCAGCTAGGAAAGCAATGTCTAACACTCTGTTATTTAAGCTGAACAACTTTCTAAGGAATTCAAAGGTCTCATAAACCTGGACGCACATTCATGCACACACTCACACCGAGAGGCCCACTGGGCCCAGACCCATCATTCATGGGTGGCCAGGAAACCAGGACTTGGAACTATCCAATCTGGAAGTGACACCAAGTCTGCAGGTATAGCCACAGTGGCTTTCATCCCAGTCTGGTGGCCGAGGAGGTGTCAGCTGCTGCTCACAGGTGGCGGGCTGCCTCCCAGAGGATCTGCAGGGCCATGGACGCGCAGGGGAGCTGGGCCAGGGTGTAGGACACGGAGCGGATGGGCGCCCGCAGCTGGCCCAGGTAGGCCACAGTGTGTACCATGCGGCCCACGAGGAAGACAAGGAAGTGCAGCCAGGCCACGAAAGGGTTAGGGCCCAGGAAAGAGTAGACAAGGCCCAGAAAGAGGAAGGGATAGATGGTCTCCATGTCGTTCCGGTGAGCCCTGGGGAGGCAAAGGGAGTACAGTCAGCTGGGTGCTGAAACTCACACCTGTAATCCTAGCTACTTGGGAGGCTGAGATTGGGAGGATCATGGTTCGAGGCCAGCCTGGACAAAAATCAAGACCCTATCTCCAAAATAACCACCTTAAAATGGACCGGAGATGTGGTTCAAGCAGTAGAGCACCTGCTTTGCAAGTGCGAAGTTCTGAGTTCAAATTCCAGTACCAAACAAAAAAGAATACAGTCAACCAGCCATTAGCTTTGGGGCCCTTCTGAAGGTGCCAGGGAAGATTAGGCTCTGCCCTGAGAGGGCTGCAATCCACAGGGGTTCTCTCTTGGAAGCTAGACACACATATCTCTTCCTGGTCAGGAAAGGAGACACAGGACAGTAAGCCCCAGCTTCTGCCCACAGGCAGCTGCAACAAGGAAGTCCCCTAACAGGCTATGTGGCAAAGGGCTTTTGGTTTCGGGTTTCCTTGCCATGGAGAACTTGCAGGAACCCAGGCCAGGCACCACCCCCCATCGTCCCCTCTGACCCTTGGACACCAGGCAGGAAAAGTGAGGCTAAGAGAGCTAAGAGGGTGGGGGGGGCTTTGCAGAGCAGGCCAGAGTGGAATTGGGATTCAAACAGAGATCTGACTGGTTTGTGCTCTTTGGGCCCCTTTGGGGACTGAGATGGCCCTCCTTCGGAATGCAGGCTCTTCCGCCCCCCCAGCACTGCACTCTGTCTCCCTCTCTCTGAAACCTAAGCGCCAGCTTTGCAGGGTAATAATAACAAAATTGACCACTCACTAGGGCGGGCCAGGCGCCCAGCCCCACCAAGCCTTCACTGCATGCGTGCTATCCGGCTCCTTGTTTTGTTTAAAGCAGGCGGGTGTGTGAGTGCGTGTGGCGGGGGGGCTGTGTATGACCCATAAATAAGTGACCAAGAAAGCAAGCTTACCACTGCTGCAGTGGTTGGCTCAGATTTTCCATGACCCCTGCAGATGGTCAGCTTTCTCTCTGGAGAGTGGGGAGATTGAGTCCCATGAATTAGCCTGAAGTCATGGATGGGCACACTGGGTGCTCCAATAAACAGGAACCCAGCACTTTAGCCATGACCCCCATCAAGGACAGGCCACATATGTGCAGAGAGGGGACTTAGCTGGAGCAGGAGGGCCCTTCTTCTCCAGGCCTTCCGGCTGGAATACATCTCACCAGCCACGCTGGACCAGCAGGCCACACCCAGTCTGGCAGCCTCTACATGGTGACCAGCTGCAGAAGTCCCCACTCTCATTAGCAAGATGAGTCCGAGGCAAGGTCACAGTGTGCTGCCTGATTGAAAGCAAGTTGGCAAGGCAGGATGGGGGTGTGGAGCACCCAGCACCCCAATGCTGCAGGGGTCTCTGCAGAGTGGCTGGAGTGGTGGTGGCCAGGAAAGAAAACATTAGTGTTGGAGCCTGAATAATGAGAAGCCAGCCAGGTAGAGGAAGAACTTTCCAGGGAGAGTAACTAGCCCGTGCAAAGGCCCTGGGGTAGGAATCACATAGTGTGTTCAGGACACAGAAATGTAAGCCACTTGCTACAATGTGGTTTATGAGGAGTGTGAGGCAGGACAAGGGTGGGAGAGGAGCAAAGGAGACTGGAATTCATTCGGACTATAAAAACACCTGTACACCCACAGGCCCTGGATCTTTCCCAGGATATGACAGCCAGCAACTTCTTCCTTCTTCTTCTCCCCCCAAATCTTGTGACCAAACCATGGGGAAAACCAGCCTGTGGCTGAGTGGATCTGGTCTCACCAGGCTGCAGGGAAGACTGTGGCCTGCCCATTCCAGAGGGAGGCAGGCCCAGATGGATCTGGGGATACTGACCACAGGAAAGGAGAGGAGGAAAACAAGGACTGGGGCCACAAGGACTCCCAAGATGAGCAAGTCCCTTACTTTACTAGGGAGTCATGAAGAAAAATCACTCCAGCCTGTGGAGATGGAGTCACACGCACCAACACCCCCACACACTGATGAAAGGGGCACCCTGGAAAAACCCTTTGTGGATTAAGTCAGCATGTCCTGAAATGAGCTCCGCCTACCACAGGAGACCACAAGACAGTGCCACCTGGTGAGTACTTTCGTGACAGTTACGTACTCATTTGCAAGTTTGGGGAAAACATAACTAAGGTAGAAACCCCACTCCATTCATCCAGAGAGTTTTCTCCTTAAAGTACGATTTTACATTTTTAAGAGTTCCTTTTTAGAAAGCTACTAAGAAAATCATAGTACAGGAGGAACACAAATGTGACCAAACATGAAGAATGGATAAGGGAAGGAGGGTGGGAACACATCGAGGGTGAAGAACAAGGGGCCAGAAGATCCCTAAATGCCAGCCTTGTAAAAAAGCTTGCTTCCTAGTTCCAGCCACTGGGCATCAACTTGGCAGTCACCATTGTGGGAGGAGAGGTGGCTGAGAGCTGAGACAGCCAGGAACACTGTCCCTGAAAATCCTTCCCCTATCTGGCCTGGTTCAAACCACAGTGGGGCTCCACAAAGCCACCATGGTGCCAAGAGCAGGGAGCCATGGGGAAATCAGGTTGTTGCAAAAAAAAAAAAAAACAAACAAAAAAAAACACCTCACCATGGAGAGACATGGAGGGAGTCACGTACCACATCGGGCGAAATGTGTCATCCCAATAATAACCACTTTTAAGGTAAAAGCCACTCAATGCCAGTCCCCACTAGACAGGACTTGCATGGCTTCCTGCAGCATTAGGCCTGCCGCTCTCCCTCAACAGACCTTTCCTGTGTCTTACTGCAACAGGTGACCGCAGTGGGGAGGGGGAGACCCATGTGGCCCCAGGCTCAGGGCAGGGACAGACCCGGCTGCTCTGCTCAGGAGTGATTTTCCTCCCCTCTCTTCTCCACCCACTCGGCCCATGCCCTTGACCTCAGGGTGATACAATGGGTTGGCTGCTTGGTGACAAAGGCAGGTGACAGAGTAAAATTGCCCTGTGCAGAGGGAGAGCATCTAGGAGCAGGGCCCAAGGAGAGGCTGGCTCGCAGGCCTTAGCTTCTTCCTCCATAGACAACAGCGATCCCTTCACAGCGTTGGTGGTGGTGCAGGGAGAGTTGAGGAAAAGGTCAGGGTGGACCAGGTAACTGGATCTACTAAGTTCACTGCCACTCTCTCTCTCATCATTGTCACCCCTGCCAGTGCCAGCCTGGCGCAGACATGGTTGTGGACGCTAATTTCACTCTCTTTGAGTTGCTGGACTCCTGTCCTCCCACAGTCACCCAGGCTGAATGAATCAAAAGCACTTTGACTGCAGTGGGGGTTGTCTCTCTCCATCACTGGGCCAGGTCCACCATCTACAAATGACCATGTGCAAGGACACCTTAGGGACTTCGGGGCTGGCATTTGGGACCCAACATCCAGACAAACCATCTCTCTTGGGTTAAGACCGTGCTCCAAACAGTCAGAAGTGTTCAAAAGCTTGGGTAAGGCATTTACCCTCCTTGGGGGTTATGTGGCAGGTCCTTCACTGAAGTTTCAAACACACAGCCACAGACCTCAGTCAGGACACCCACCATTGGGAAACATGTCAGGTACCCTGGGGAGAACGTGGCTGGTTCCTTTCTCTAAGCCTGCTCCCAGGTTTCTCCCAGAGCCAGGCAGGTGTGCTGCAAGGCAGATTTATGGTCCCAGAACCATGGTGTACTGCTCTCCTGTGTGGACAGGGGCCTCCACCCCCAATGCACTAGAAGCCCTGATCTAATATTTAACTAACTTTGCTCCAAGACACTCTCCCTCTCCTCTCTTCTCTCTCTCTCCTTCTTTCTCCCCCAGCCAGTTCTCCAGTAGCTGACACTCTCAGTTCTGCACCCTCAACTTTCCATGATGTGCTGTGAAGCCAGGGGCCGGAGGAGGAGCCCCAGGAACCCAGGCATATTCCTCCCCCTCAGTACCCCTAAGTCCCCAAGAAGTCCTCATGGATGTAAGGCATTTAGATGAGAGAGGCTTATAAAATACTTGACGGAATCCCAACCACTGAAGCATCCATACTAGAAGATGGGTCATTTTCTTGAGAAAAAAAATTGTACTGGGTGGGTAGAAATGTCTCAGCCCCACCCAGGTCTATGTCTCTTCCAGGCATGGTGACACCACCTGGGAGGAGCCAAACACACCTCTAGGTGATTGCTGTGATCTAGCTGGGGCAGCTGCCTTCATTGCTCACCACTCCCTCCCAATGGCCCAGAAGAGGACACAACCAGGGATGAGGGTCACCAACCCGGGGCCATGTTTGGGGAAGATTTTTTGCTCATGGAAGTCCAGCTAGAACAACACAGTGTCTTGCACACAGTGCAATAAACTATGAGTGGATGATGGACGGATGCACGATGGACAGATGGACATCACAGGAGTGACCACATACTGAAGTTCTATCTGACAGGGAGGATGCCACAGAGCTCCCCCTCCTATGATGCATTGCTGCAATTTGTAAAAACCGCAATGTGTACATTATTGTCAATGGCTAAGAAAAACCCTAGCCTTTCTTTTCAGAAGAATTTCTGTTATTAAAGTGACAATGTCCCACCCATTTCTGCTGGTGACACACAGACGTGTTGAGAGCTGTGTGGAGGTTTGTCTCACGTCTCTGCCCAGCTACGCTACCCGTCCTCCCTGCTCCCACCCACCCTCAGATAACCTGTGGGGGTAAACGGCTGGGCACAAACGACCAAGCCACCAACACTGACCTGGTCATCAAAGTTAACATTTAGCCTCTGGGGGAATTTAACACGGCCATATGTGTGTGTGTGAGTGTGTGCACACGTGTGTGTGCATTGTGCACGTGCCTGCGTGTGCTGGGGAGAGAATCCACAGGCCACTGAGCTACATCCCCAGCCCCAAAGTCACTTTTTGAAGACTCATTTTTTGCGTACTATTGACTGAAATAGAAACTTCTCATGAAATAATGTTCACTAAACAGTATCAGAACCCCAAATTGACTCGGTGCTGGTGGCTCACGCCTGTAATCCCAGCTACTTGGGAGGCTGAGATTAGGAGGATCTACGTTTGAACCAGCCCAGGCAAACAGTTCACGAGACCCCCATCTCCAAAATAACCAGAGCAAAATGGACTGGAGTGTGGCAACTGGTAGAACACCTGCTTTGCAAGCACAAAGCTCTGAGTTCAAACTGCAGTCCCACCAAAAAAGAAAAAAAAAAAAACACCCTGAATTGGGTCTACCTAATGCATACCTGATGTTGGGAAAAATATTTAGACATAGTAGACAAAGAGAAAAGAGAGAAATGATGTCACCAGGGATGGGAAAGTGAATGCATCCCTCTTTGCTGCTACATATTTTGGGCAGGTTCAAATTGTCAGCAATGAGTTAGTTCTGATTTTCATAATATTACGAAAAATCACTTTTAATTGCCTGGGGGATGTTAAACGTAGGAAAAGATGTTCAATTTCACTCAGAATAAAAGAAATGAAAACTGAGTGGAGGTGCAAGCATGCAATCCTGGTACTCACGAGGCTGCAGCGGGAGGAGCCTAAGTTTGAAGCCAGCCTGGGATATGTAGCAAATTCCAGGCCAGTGTGGGCTACATGTCAAGCCTTTGTGAGAAAGAAAGGAAGGGAAGGAAGAGAGGGGGGAGGGAGAGAGAGAAAAGAAAAGAGAGAGAGAGAAAGAGAAAGAAATGCAGAGAAAACCCAACCAAATGTGGTAGGCTGTTTTTGAACTGTCCTGCAGGCAGGGATGCACCAGAGATGTATGACGACACTCTGAGCAGGTGGGACGTGGAGAGGCAGCTCACACACCAGTTGGAATGGACTCATGCAATTTGGGGAGTATTTCTCACATTCATTTGTGTCACATACACACGAAGTAGATGCAAGTGGTGGCTGTGGGATGTCCGTGGGATGCCCAGAGAAGACAGAGAGCAGGCACGGGCCCATGGGAGGGAAGCAGCTAGAGGGAGCATCACAGTGTGGGTTAAGTTCTACAGCACCAGCACTGGTAGGCCGCACCCTCCATGCTCGTGTGCGGGACGAGGCTCAGAGCAGCAGTGAAGGAACTCTTTTCTGTGTGTGCACGCAGAGTCCCAGGAACACCCAGGCCCTGGCCCTGGCCCTGCACAGCAGAACTGGGCACTTCCTGGAGTCAGAGGGAGGAGGGGGACCAGATTTCCCCCGGATACCCTTGCTAACTTTGTAATTCTGAGTCATGAGCACCTACTACTTTCCCCAGGTTAGTGTACGAGTAAATGAAAACACAGGCTGAAGGAAGCAGGCGCCCAGAGGCCCTCGGTCTCCCTCCCAGCTCCCTGTGTGCAGAAGATCAGCAAGGACCAGCGTGAGACTAGAGTACTTGCCTGAGGCAACGCTCCACATCCGGGTCACTCCGGCAGTACTGGGGACCCCCGTGTCTCAGGGCATCCTCGGGGTTGGCAAAAGCCTGAAACACACCACCCAAGCATTACTATTCACGAAGGAGACCCTGGAGTGCGGGGTCAGTGTTCACAGTGACCGGGCAGCAGAGCACCCACACCCATTCAATAGCACCCATGAGCCTCAACTCTGTGACCTGTGCTGGGATTCATGGTGAAAAGCTCTGGGGCCCCTGCTCTTACGAAGCCCATGCTCTGATGGGGGATTGCCCAGGAGAAAGGGAGGGCCAGGTGGGCTCATCTGTCAAGAGACAGGAGCCAGGGCTGGTGGTACAGCCTAGTGGTAGAGTGCTTGCCTGGCATGCATGAGGCCCTGAGTTCCATTCCCAGCACCACAAAAAATAAAGCAGGGCGCTGGTGGCTCACGCCTGTAATCCTAGCTACACAGGAGGCAGAGAGCAGGAGGACCGCGGCTCAAAGCCAGCCCGGATAAATACTTCTCCAGACCCGATTTCAAAAGTACCCAACACAAAAGAGGGCTGGTGGAGTGGCTCACGGTGTTGGCCCTGAGTTCAAACCCCAGTACCACAAAAATAAAAAATTAAATTAAATTAAATAAATAAATAAAAGCAGTGAGAGGACCTTGAGAGCCCCGCATTGCTTACTGTGAGTTTCTAAAACTCCCTGTGCCTCGGGGTCTTCAGGATGAAATGAAGCCTCTGAACCACAGGCAAGAGGAGGAGAGATCTGGGGAGGCATTGAGCACCAGGACGCTGAGTGAACCACCAGTTACTCTCTTGGGACAGAGGAAGTGTAGGTCACACTTGGTGGATGAGGGGTCACCTCTGCCTGTAGCTTGCTCTCCACCATTCCATACTGACCTCAGGGGAAAGCGAAGGCCTCAACCAAGGAACTGCAATCTCTAATTTTCTAAATTTCTCATCCCGACAAGCCTAGTGTTTCTGACTCACCTCACCTAGGTCCACAAAGTCTGGCTCATCCTGCCTCGTGGGCCTGTCCTTGCCCTACCCTGGAGGCACAGCTCTTCATGGTAAGGATGGGAATCCTCAGCCCAGAATTCCTCCCACTGGCCCTTAAGTCAGCAAAGCACAGTTGATGAGCCCACATAGAGCCCTTGGAGACCGAGGCCTTCTAAAAAGTATTTAGCAGGCACTTGCCCCTGGAGTCACAGCCCCGGGGTAAGTGCTCCCCCAGCTGGTGGAATGAGCTGCAGACAGCACAGACCAGAAGAGCCCTGGGTGACAGATGTCAGGTGCTATACCTCTAGTAGGGGCAAGGGGCCAGGCCTCAGGATGCACAACCAGGTTGCGCCACTCAGGTCAATTTTAATGGCTAGCAAGTCATGGGGACCAATATTTGTGGGATGTTTGCTTTGTGCCTGGTGGTAAAGTTTTCTGGCACGGTTAAGATCCTGGTTTATAAAAGGGGACAAACCCAAAGCCCCCAGCTTGCCAAGGTCCCAAGGCTGGTGGGTGAGAAAGCCAGAGCTCTGTACCAAGTGCTCCCCAGCCTCCTCCTGGTTGCCACTAGGCAAAGGAGCAGAAATGAGAGGGGAATGTTGATCACAGGAGCCCCCGGTGCCTCAGTCCCAGCTGTGCAGGCAAAGGTAGCTGGGCAGATTCACCTCCTCCCTTTTCTGCCTGCTCTCTAGAACTCCAGCCCCCAAGACAGGCTCTGGAGCTGGACACCTGGGTTCAAACTGGGCTGTGAGACCTGCACAAGTACTGTGTCCCCTCCTGGGCCCAGGATCTCCACTGGGAAAGAAGAGGCTCCTCCCCTCCACCCCCAAGGGCTGTGCTCAGGATGACTCTATGAGTGAATGTCACTGTCCTGCCTGGTACCTGCTTCCCACATCCCAGGTCAAACCAAGGTGAAAGAATCAGAAGTGATCAGTGTGCAGTGGCCTCCAGGTTTCCTATCACCTGGGCACTGCCCTACCTTTAGTCTTGCCTGTACCTGCCCCAGGGGCTGAGCCTGGCTTGAGGGTAAACTTCGCCACCCCATCCCCCAGGGTCCACTTGCACGTGATCCAGTTGCTGGTGCAGTTTGGGAAAGGACTCTGCTAGCAAAATCCCTATACGAATAAGACCCAGGTGCCTGGGGCTCTCTGGCTTCCACCGGCATGGCTGCGAGTGCAATCTGCAGGCGGCCGCCTGGTGCAGCAGATCTGTGGGCCTGGGTCAGGGCGTCCACCACTTCTCTGGCTCAGTCTTGGTCTCTTTATTGTTGTGCAGGGACTGGAGTGGGGTGGAAGGTGGGGTCCTTCCCTGAACACCCCGATAGGGCTTGAGTGAGACCCTGCCCCTGGACGCTGCCCTGGATTTGTAAGCAACATTCTTGGGGCGTTGGGAATTTCCACTGGGAGGTTTCAGAGGCTCCTGTTTTGCCGGTTCCCACTCCACCCAGATATTGGATCTCCCTGCAGGGAGCCGCCAGGTCAGGGAAGCTTTCTGCTGTCAGAATCCCTGCCCTCCACCAGCCAGGACCTGCCAGGTCTGCTGGCCACAGCACTTAACTTTGGGACACAGCAAGGAAACCTGGAGCTCTCTTAAGCCAGCTGAAGCCAGGCCAACGGGGAGCCGTCCAGCAGGGCTGCGGGGGCAGCTTGGAGCAAGGCCACTCTCACGCTGGCCAGCACACCTTGGCCAGGTCTCCTTGTTCCTGGACTTTTTCGCAGGGCAGTGAAAGGAGAAGCCAGAATGCTGCTCCCTTCGAGTTCCCCGGGGCGCCACAAACCTTCTTCCGAAGCCTCACTTGGCCTGTGATGACAGCTACCACGTACATCTTCATGATGAGCAGTGCGCTGCAGAGCAGGAAGGCCGGGAGCACCTGGCCACTCGCCATCGCCAGGCCTGGGGCAGGCATCTCCGCCAGCCAGCGAGCTCGGACTCTGGGACAGCCGACCGTGGGAGTGCCGGTCCCACCGAGCAGCCTGGAGAGAGGAGAGCGAGGCGGGGTCAGGAGGCGGGTTTCACAGTCAGCCCCGCCCACTCCCCGCCCACTCCTCCCTCGCAGGCCCCCTGATCCTCTGAAGGTGCGGACCGAGCATCTTGAACCCCAAGGTGCTGTGACAAACAGAGGAGGGAGGCTCCCACTCCGCCCTGGCTCTGGGCCACCCTCCTGGCCAACTCTTTTTCTCTTTATTTTATTTATTCATTTTTGTGGTACTAGGGTTTGAACTCAGGGTCCACACCCTCCATTAGACCTTTTTTGTGATAGGTTTTTTTTTTTTTTTAAACCCAAGATAGGGTCTCTCAAACTATTTGCCCAGGGCCTCAAACATGGATTTTCCCGTTCTCTGCCTCCTGAGTAGCTAGGATTACAGGTGTGAGCTACTGGTGCCAGAGTCTGGCAAACCCTTCAACGCTTTCAAATCTGTTTCCTCCTCTGTAAAGTAGGAGTTACCACAGTGCCTGCCTTCTGGGGGTCCCACAGACTGGGCACCTAGTGAGACCTGCACCTATGGAGCATGCTGCTGACCTGTGCCCACCTCCCACAGGGTCAGGGCAGGTAGCAGCCATAAGAACCAACCACAGCCACGGGAACGTCACATCACGATCTCACGATCGATGTGACTGCTATGCTAGTCATTAGTCACAGTAGACTGAGTAATGTCCCCAAGGCCATGTTCCAGTCCCCAGAGTTGATAAATATGTTTCACTACATGACAAAAAGGGCTTTGCAGATAGGAGTTTGTAAGGATCTGGAGATGGGAAGATTAACCCAACATAATCACAGGGCCCTTTAAGAAGGAAGAGGTAAAATTAGACAAAAGATGTCAAGCAAGTTAAGAGAAGAGACAAGGATGGAGAGGAGGCTCACTGTGCTTTGCAGATGAGGGGCTCACAGCCAAGGAATGTGGTGGCCTCTGCAAGCTGGTAAAGTGAGAGCCACCAAGGGGACATGATGTCCCCCAACTCCCTGCTTGATGTTAGCCCTATGAGCCCTTCTCAGGACCTCCAGCCTCCCAACTTGAGACTTGTGCTGTTTGAAGCTGCTGCTTTTGTGGAACTCCTTACAGCAGCCATCAGAACTGGGAACCCAGCACAGTACCCTGCTGTCTTCTTTAGTCTCTTTACTGTCCTCGAAGACTCTTTCCTGGTAAAAGTTGTGATTTGGGACGCCTTCCCATCAACTCTTCAATAGAATGTAAGCAGTGTGTGGCTAAGATTCTCTGAACACCTCACCGGCTATGTCCTGTCCCACTCCCTTCTCAGGATTCTGGGTAGGATTGGGTTTCTAGGGAGAGACATTGTACAAGGGTCTTGCTCATTTTCTCAGCACCGTAGAGGGTGCCCTGGGGAAGTAGGAGAGGGGAAAGTCAGTCTCCTGCACCTGTTCCACTCTCTACCACAACCAGGTCCTTAGGAACACCACCAGGCCAGAGTGACTGCATTGTCAGCCTGGACTGGGCGCCAAATCTCAGCTGCAATCTGATTCCAGAGCCAGTCCTTAGCAGCAGCTGTGTGGCCTTGGTCAAGCTGTTTCACTCTCTGATCTAGTTTCCTGAGCTGTGAGATGCAGCTGATCTTCAGCCGCTCCCCACAGCAGGTTGGGAACTAAAAGGAATTGAGTCTCCAAGTCACAATTACTAAGGGTCTAGCACACTGAGGGCGCTTCCATCAGCGTGAGCCCCTGAGCCTCAGTTTCCTCCTCTTCAAAACAGGTATCGTGGTCCCTGCCTAGTTTGTCAGGAGGGAGAGTCCTGGAAAACCTTGTTTTTGTCTCTTTCCGATTCTTAGCTGGATGATGGGAGCTCCTGTGCTCTGCCCTCCCCACCATGAAAGAATGACACTTCTGAAATCAAGAGCTGAAATAAATCCTTCCTCCTTAAAAAAAAAAAAAAAGAGGACTGGAGGTGTCACTCAAGTGGTAGAGCGCCTGCTTTTCGAGTTCAAACCCCAATTCCCACCAAAAAAAAGGAAAACCTGGTTGCTGCTTCGGGGAGAGGGTGACTTCTTGCCCAGTCACAATCTGGACAAAAGATGTGCTTTATAAAGTTTCCAGAGCCTGGGTTGTCCTGGCCCCTCTAGATAAACGATCAGTCATCATCAAAGAAGGAACATGGCAGATACAGGATGTCCTGAAGCGTAGTTTATCTCTGGATGCATGGGGGAGCCGTGTATCACTGCCTGTTGATCTTTCTGACTGGGAGCAGAGGATGCCTGCCTCTCTTGCCACAGCTCCTAGGGGAGCTGCTGGAGGTACCTGTTCCCCTCGTCAAAAAGCTCAGCTGTTGGCTCCCTGGTAGAGCACTTGGTTAGCATGGGTGAAAGCCCTGGGTTCCATCCTGAGCCCTGAAACCTAAATAAGTAAATACATAATAAAAAGCTCACTTTTGAAGTTGGGGTCTGGAGGCTGTACCATTCCCTAAAATCGTCCATCACTGCTTGGACTGGGTTGGACTGCTCCATCCTGCTCGGCCTTCTTCTCTTTGGATTTCTTTTTTCTTTTTTGTTCGGTGGCACCGGGGTTTGAACTCAGGGCCTCGTGATTACCAGGCAGGCTCTCTGCCACCTGAGCCACTCTGCCAGCCCTTCAGCCTTCTTCTCAAACAACACGCTAGAAACCTGTCCAGCGGAGGCTGGGAAACTGGTGTGGACAAAGAGCGGATTGTTCCCCATTGCCTTGAGCCCGAAATAAGGTACTGTGTAAGCTAGCTCTCATGACTGCTGTACGTGACTTCAGGGTAGACCTCTTCCTTCCCCCTGCTGAAATGAGCCAGTTAAGCCAAGGAGAAAGCTCTGATCTTTGTCCAAGAATTTCAATGGATGGAAGCTGCCGAGATGTTTGGGGTGTTGGTGGCGACAGAAGTGTTGCTTCTCTCAGAGCTTTGGTTTATTTCCCTTTAAGGGACACCAATCCGGTGTCCCCTACCTTGCTGGGGCTTAGGGACCTAGCAAGGATGTGTGGACCATGGGTCATGTGCACAAAAGTAAGGTCAAGAGAAGCCCCTGGAAACATTTTCTATCTTGACTAGGGCTGGGGGGGTGGAGATACAGGACACATGTAAAAACCACCCAGCTGTATCTGTAAATCTTGTCATGTTGCTCTATTTTCTTCTTTCTAAGCCTACTACAGAAGTTCTCCCATCAAGACAGCAACACTGGGCAAAGAGGAACTTTTGTGCGGAAGCTCCATGCCTATCCCAGCTCCTTCCTCGGCATTTCCTGAGGATGTGCCAGCCAGCTCTTCCCGCTGGCTCATTGTCTGCTCCATCAGAGGAGGCTGTGACAGAGGAGGAAGTGGCTGGCTCCTGACCCCTGCATTGCTGGGCTTTCTGCAGCGATGGGGATATAAGAGCACAGTGACGAAAAAGAAAAGCTGTCTGGAGCTGAAGTGACCTGTTAAGTCAGACTTGTACTGTAGTCATCACTGTGACACCCATCCTTGCTTAACAAGCAGTGTTTGTGCAATGTGGTGTGTGGTCTGCAGACCTGTGCTGTGCAGTGAGCGCTTTCCTGACTTTCCTGGCTCTGCATCCCTCCTGGGCAGAGGCCCATGGGACTCCCCTTCAGGATGAGCAATTCAGTGAAGGACTGTTTGCGTCAGCCAGCTAGCCTCTCCCTCCCTCCTCCCTTCTTCAGGAAAATTGTACCCCTTTTCAGGAACTGTGCCCCTATTTGATAGTAAGTCTGATGGGGCTGCCAATCAAAGCACTCCATCCTTTTGGTAGGATGTGGGAATCATGTGACTCAGGCCAGCCAATTACAAAGTTCCTGACATCTGGCATGGTGTGATTGGTCCAAGCAAGGGCCCCTCACTGGAAACTCCCATGCTCACACTGATGGAGAGACCTCTTTTGGCTCTGAAAGAGGCTGTGAATGGTGTTGGCCTGAAGCTGTGTGTGTAGCCTTGTCCCTGTCCCACATGGGGGGAACCAGGAGAAAATGAAGCCCCAACCTTTGACTTTCTGGGATCCAGCAAGTCTAAGAGTTTCCTTTTCACTCAAGCAAAACATCAGTCAAATTGTATCCTTTCCTTTGCTCCAAAACCCTGCTGTGTTTCCCAGATCACTCAGTAAAAGGCAAAGTCTGGACAATGGCCTGTGGCTGTATCATGTCTGGTCCCCATTTTCTCTCTGAATTCTGTCCCTTCCCAGCCACACTGCCCTCCTCAGCAGGGTCAGACACAGTTCTGCCCCTGGACCTTTCCACTGGCTGTTCCCTCTGTCCAGAATTGGAATTCTCTGTCCTCAAGTACACCTGTTTCCTCCAAATCTTAGCTCAACTCTGACCTCACTGAGGCATGCTGAGACCTTATCAGTTCTGGGTTGGTCCCAGAACTGCTCTCCTGGGGCCCTTGCCCTGCCCCAGCCTCTCAAGGTCACTCTGTGGGATCTAACCATGCATAACATATAACTAAAACCACAATTTGTTGAACTGAATTAAATTAAGCTATGTTCATTTGGATTTTTGTCCCTTATAATCAAAAGAATCTAGATTGAGATAAATGACAACTCCTCTTTCAGGAATTTGGTCCTGAGTCCTGATTCTCACCACCTACTTCCTGGAATGCCCCAGGGGGAGCCTGGCTGCTGGCCTCTTGATGGGAAGACACCCAGGGAAGAGGTCTGGAGGTCTCTGAGTGAGACAGGCTTCCAGGAAGGCTGGGCCAAGAACCACACAACTAGGGCACTGCCCGAGGGTCACCTGTCCCAGAGCCACCTGCCCCAGGAGGATGGCACATGTTAAATTTAATTTGCATATTGACTGGACACACATACACACACACCCAGCCATGAAAACTCAAAGATGCTCACATCTACTGATAAGTGTACACGGTGAGGGTTGGAGGCTGCCCATCAGTGATTCTGCCTGACTGGGTGCTACAGGACCGGTTGCTTGCCTGGTCTCCCAAGCCCAGCCTGTCCCCCCCCACACCTACTCATGAAACAGCCAAGGTGGCCTTCAGGGACAATGCTATCCCTCG